GAGAGAGAGAGAGAGAGAGAGAGAGAGAGAGAGAGAGAGAGAGAGATTGATTTTGAAGATAGCTGGTATGTTAAGTTTTTCATTGCTATGACAAAACACCTGAGAAGATCACCTTAGGAGGAGGAAAGTTTTATTCTGATTCACAATTTCAGAAGTTTCAGTCCTTGGTCACTGGGCCACATGGCTTTGGACCTGTGACGCACAGCACAATATGGTGGGAGCATGTGGCAGAGGAAGGGAAGAGAGTGAGGAGGAGCCAGTGTCCACCATCCCCTTCCAGGGCACGCGTGCAGAGACCCGGCCTCCTCCTACCAGGCCCCACCTCCTAAAGGTCCCACCACTGCCCAGCAGCACCACCAGCTGGGGACTGAACCTTGAACGGGTAGCCTTTGAGGGACACTGAAGAGCTGTGGCTGAGGTGCTGCTGCACCTGGGGTGAGGTGTTGGCCGCATGTTTAGACCAGCGCCAGGCTCCGTGTGCGCTGTGCCCCGTGTTTGTCCTCAGCGCCACCCTCTGAGGCAGGGATGATCTTTCCCAGTCACATGAGGGAAAGCGGGGGCTCTGAGGGAATGAGTCACTTGTCCGGCCTCCGAGTCGTAAGGAGCAGAGGCAGGTCTGAACCCAGGAGGGACCGTATCTAAGCAGGTGTGCAGGAGTGTCCGGCCCGCTCAGGGCTGGAGGGGACAGCCGGCTGCAGAGGCCTTGCTGACTTGGCTCAGGAGGTTAGAGCGTGGTCTCCCCTCGGGGTCCAAAGCCCAGTGCTCTCCCTGGGGCCTGGCCCTGCTTGGGGCCCCGCCAGCTGCCTCCCTTTCCCTCCTGCCCCAGGGACCTCAGCAGGGCTGGGGCCTCTCTGGTCACGGCTTTGGTGGGTCCCCCCTCCCGGAGGCTCTGCCAGCCCTGCGGAGGCCGGCGTGCCCAGCAGCTGACCTCCTGCTCCTCCTGCAGCTGGTGGACCGGCTCCTGTACTCGGGCAGCGCGGACAGGACTGCCAAGTGCTGGCTGGCACACGAGGGGGAGCACGTGTGCACCTTCCCAGCCCACAGACACAGCGTGAGCACCCTCAAGTACCACGCGGGCACCTGTAAGTGACCTGTCCCCACACTGCCCCGTGCCCCAGCCAGCCGAGGCCCCCTGCCGAGCTCCTCCTGCATTCCTCCTGGCTTGTCCCCTCGGCCTCTCTCTGCCTGCGTCATTTCCCCTCAGCGACTGGCCTTGGCTGTGGTGCCCAAAGCCAGCCACCCGGCCTTCCCCGTGCACCGGCTCCTCCAGCGGCTGCTGCTGCTTTTTCTTCTCCTTCTCCTTCTGTTTTTTCAAAGAAATTCCAACACAGAATGGGGGACTCCTCACCTTCACAAGGATGGGGGAGACTGCATGTTCAGAGGTCCTGGGGTCAAAGCATGTCTCAAGGACACATTCTAAGGCTTCAAGGGAGACAGCAACACCCCCCTTAAACCAGCCAGATTCGAGGGCCCATGGGCTTGGCCTCCCTTGGCCGTAGGTGTAACTGCAGATGAGAGGAAACCCGGAAAATAGAGGTTTAAGTGAGGTAGCGATTATTCTTCTCTCAGGTAAGAGAGGCCGGCAGCCTTGGCTGGCGTGGGTGGCTCCACAAGGTCCTCAGCACCTCAGTCCTTCTGTCAGCTGCTTCTTCATTCTTTGCACATGTCTTCTAGCTTTAATGAAGCATCATGTTCAAGATAGCTGCTGAAGCACCAGCCATCATGTCATGTTTTTGGTGGGAAGGAAGAAGAGGAGGGAGGAACAAAGGGGTGCATCTTCTGCAGCCAGCTACCACCCTGCAGCTTTAACAGAAAAGATGGGATAGGCTGGGTGCTGTGTAATCCCAGTGACTTGGGAGGCTGAGGCTGGAAGATCAGGAGTTTGAGAGTAGCCTTGGCAATGTAGTGAGACCCTCATCCACTTAGCAAGACCCTGTTTCAAAATAAAAATGGCTGGAGATGTGGCTCTGCGGTAAAGCACCCAAGTTCAGCCTCCAGTACCAAAAAAACAAAATAAAAGCCAGGACTAGGTGAGTGGAGGCAGGAAGGATGTGGGTAAGAGACAGATGTCCCAACACCAGAGAGCCCTAGAGAGGTGCGCCTTGGTCAGGCTCTGGCTGCGGGTAGCGGGAGGCACTGGAACTGCACCCTTGGAGGGATCCTGCTGCAGCACCTCTGGATGCTGGGAGTCAACACCCCAAAGAGCCCCCTCGGCGGGTGGCCAGTGGGAGCTGGCAGATAAAATGGCATGGGGCTCTTGCTTCCCAGGTGGCTCAGCCTCTGCAGGGCCCAGCAGCCCACAGTAGTTACCTGCTCCCGCCCAGACCCTGTTGGCTTGGTTCCTCCCCTGACCTGGTGCTTCCTGGCGTCTGCCTTAGTGCCAGGGTCACTCCTGGGGCGTCCAGCCTCCAGGCTGAATTCTCCGTGTGGCCCCCAACCAAAGGCATCACCTGGAACTAGTTAGAAATGGAGAGTCCCAGGTGCTATGTGCTACATCAGAAGCCTGGCACAGGCCCTCCAGATGACGCTGCTGCTCCTTCACGCTGGAGAACTGTGAGGCTAAGTTACAATGGAGGGAAACCCAAGAGGGAGCCAGACAGGCAGAGGCTTCTCCAGGCCAGAAGTCAGAGGAGCACGCGAGTGAGCCCAGAAGGCCGGGCGCTTCTCAGAAGGCAGACCGAGGACTGACTGGTCCCTGTGGGTGCAGGTGCGGGGTGGAGCAGGGGACAGAGTCTGCTGGCCGTGAGGACCATTCTGAGCACACCAGGCAGAGAGGCCAGCTTCACCAAAGGGTTCTGGGAGTGGGACCTTACCCTGGGAGGCCCTAATGAGGGACAGGGCCACTTGGGGGACAGTGAGGCCCACTTGAAGCCAAGGAGGGCGTGGCAGCCACCCACCAGCCCTGCAGAGGCAGCTGCAGACGGGGAGGGGGAGGGGGTCTCCGCCCCTCGGGTCTGTAGAAGGAGCTCAGGTTCCTTTTGGAGGCTCTGCTGCTTCCCTCTGGAACCTTGGCCACCCGGTGAGGCAGGCCCCAGTACCAAAAAAAAATAAAATAAAATAAAATAAAAGCCGGGACTAGGTGAGTGGAGACAGGAAGGAGGTGGGTAAGGACAGATGCCCAACACCAGAGAGTCTCAGAGAGGTGGCTGTGGTCAGGCTCTGGCACCTGCCCCTGTGCTCTGGGAGAAGTTGGCAGCTGGGCACGACAGTGCGCTGCTGTGTGTCCACAGTATTCACGGGCAGTGGGGATGCCTGCGCCCGGGCCTTTGACGCGCAGTCGGGAGCACTGCAGAGGGTGTTCCGGGGCCACAGCTTTGTCATCAACTGCTTGCAGGTAGGAGCCTCCCTGCCCAGCTCCTGGGGCCTCAGTAACTTGCTGGGGAGGGAGGGTGCTTGGGCCCGGCCAGACTGCCCCTGGGGTCAAAGCAGAGGCCCTCCAGCTGTGGTGGTTTCTGCCTGGTGTCCTGCCCTGTAGTGGGGGAGTCCTGAGTCTGACAGTCCACTCGCCTGCCTGCAGGTGCATGGCCAGGTGCTCTACACCGTGTCCCATGATGGCACGCTGCGCCTCTGGGACATGCGTGGTCTCCGGGCCCTGCCACCCACGCCTCGCAGGCCAGCAGCCAAGCGCAGCCTGTCACGCCTGTTCAGCAACAAGGTGGCCTGTGCCCCGGACACACCGCTGCAGGCTGCCTGAGCCACAGAACTGCCACTGCCTGGGAACAGCAGGCGGTGCCCAAGCCCAGGCTCACAGAGGCAGGCCTTGGTCTCTGCTCCTGAACTTTGCCGGCCTCAGCTGCAGGTGATGTGTTGGGATGAGGAGGTGTGTACCTGCCCTGGGGGATGGCTCCCTTCCCCTGGGGGAGGCTCCTTTTTGTCCCTACCTCCTGAGCTAAGACCTTGTCATCTGGCCTCCTCTGAAACCCTCCCAACTCTTGAGGACTCCAGTCTGATGCCCCCAAGCTCTGGAAACTTCTAGAAACCTCGTGTGGCTGGCCCCTTCCTGCTGAGAGGAAATGAGGACATTTCTACTTTGGCAAATTTTTCTGGCAAACTGTGTCCTGAGGACCCTCATGAAGAACTCAAATACACACCTTCTAAAGCTCAAAGCGCGAGTGTGTCTTGTTTTGAGCTCCACCGCACACACCCAGCCTGGGCCACCTCCCCTGCCTGTGGTGAGGGGCTGTCAGCAGTACTGCTCCTGGGGAAGGGGCTGTGGGAAAGGCCAGGGCCCAGGACGGCTCTTCAGCCTCTCCAGCTGACAGCAGGTGCCACTGCTTTGGAGCGCCCATCATCTTCTGGCCTGAATCCATGGGGGTCTTCCCACAGCTCTTATCCCCTTGGTGGTGCCTAGTGTAGGGAGAGCAGCTGCAGGTGACAGTGTCTGTTATTAAGAGGGCAGCATCTCGCTATGGGCACCTCCCTGCTCAGTGCACAGGTGCTGCCCGACAAGGTCTGCCGTGCCACAGGCCGCACCAGCTCTCCAAGATGGCCAGGCCTGAGGGGGACCCCCCACAGGGACAAGGGCAGTGAGGCACATCCGTGATGATGCTCCAGGTCAAACTTGCAAATCCCAGGAACCAGAGCCTCCCCAGCCCCCAGGAGGTCAGGCTTCTTGATGACCAGCAGTCAAGCAGGAGACCTCGAATGGGGCCGGTGCTGTTCTCCGGGTGGGCTTGAACACACATGTCCACTCTGGGAGCCATCAGGACTGAAATGAAGTTTCAGGAAGCACAGGCAGAGAACCACTGTGAGTCCCACTGGGGAGCGTCAGAGGGAGCAAGTCCTAGGCTGGCGCTGATGTCCCCAGCTCCAAAATGCAGAGACACAGAGTGTCCAGTCTGTCAGATGCTCTGAAAAAAGGGAGGAACCAGAAACAGCAGTGTATCCCAGTGGTAAGCGCTTGCCCTGCCCCTGTGAGGCCCTGGGTTTGATACCAACACTGCCACAAGAACCAAAAATCAGGTGTTCGCCTTTGATCAATCAATTCAATTGGCTGAGGGCAGGACAAAACAGGGCATCTGGGCAGGAAAACAGGGACAGGGTGTGGTGGTATTACCAGGGCCAAAGGCAGACAGAATCTGATAAGTGGTCAGCATCAAGGACACCTGGCCAGGTCCAGCACGTCACTGCACTGCACAGCCTCAGGCTGACCTTCCCATCTCCGCTGCGCTGCCCTAGGTCCCCTACCCACCTGGTGTTCACCTCTGGCCAGCCCCTACCCACCTTTCTGGGCTGACTGGACTCACCAATCCTTAGACCCTCACTCTTCCCACACGCCTCCTTGTGGGTCCAGAACCCTCTCCAGCCCACAAATACGCCACACTCAGACTGCCACCCTGCTGGGATCTCGCCTGACCAGGCCTGCAATGTTCTTTCTCCTGACCCTTCAAGGAGAGCCCTCCCAGAACCACTCAGTAGCAGGCCTCTGTCCCTGCAGCCTCGCTTCTGCTCTTGCAGCCACTGCCCAGCGAGGACCAGGTAGGGTCTCAGCTGCTGGCAGCTTCTGCAGTGCTGGCCACCTCGGCGCGGGCTTCCTGCAGCTCTCTTGTGGCACACAACAAAACCAGGGCTGCTGGTGCAGCTGTGGTGCCCTTGGCTTTCCCATCGGCATTAAAACAGGAAGCCAGAAGCCACAACTGGGACCAAATCCTCAGCTGGTGGCCGCTCCCCACACAAGCCCTGCAGGTCCACTTCACACCCCTGGCTGAGGGCTGCTCCCTCGCTCGCATCGGCACAGCCCCGCCTTTCACGAGACCATGGCTGCTGGGGGTAAGACCCAGGGCTGTGCGCATGCTGGCAAGGACACCCCACTGAGCAACACCCCAGCTCGCCACTGCTTCTGAGCACAGCTTTCCATTCCTCACAACACTTGCAATGGAAACGAAAACCCAGGTCACCCAGACCCTCTCAACAGGTAAAACCCAGAGCACGCAGAATTCCCTGCAGTAAGGCTGACAACTCCCGAGTGTATTTTCCACTGTTTATTTCCATCAGTACCATCCATTGAAAGAGAAAGACAAGATTCCCACGTTCCAAACCAGACTGTGGTGCAGCCTCCGCAGTCAGACCCGAAGGCAGCATGTGGCCCATTCTGCCGTCTGAGTGTTCTGGCTGCTTTTAGAAGGGGCTTAGGGAACATGCCTGGCACTTGATCCACTCCCCACCTGGCAGCTGCCAGCTGCACCCTGGATGCCGGGTGTTCCCCTAGCACACACTCCAGATGAACGCAGCATGGCGAGAAGTTATTAAAGCCGACAGAAGGCTGACCACACAGCTTGAGGGAGTCTTCTGTCACAAGCTACAACAAAGATCCCCACCAAAATCTTGGGAAAATATTTCTAAGTCTCTGATAGGTCTCTTGGCTAACAGCGAGTTTCCTATGACAGCAGAGTCTAAAAATGTTAATTAAAAATAAGTTGCTTTGGTTAGCACTTAAAACTTTCCCATTTAATAAAAGATTTTGTATGAGGAATTTTGAATACATAAAGTCTGATTTTCAGCTTTGAATTTCAAGTGCATATTTTGCAGAACTGAGAGCACAAAACACTGACATTTCAGGATAAAGGCGTCTGCCACAATTTCATCTGGCTACTGCAGCCCGTGCCTCGTTTTTATGCCCCACAGCACTTGGAACGGAGATGTAAAGGCTGACCGTGGGGCAGGAGGGATGGTGGTGTGGGAGCACGCGGGGGGAGCAGGGCCCACACCGTGGCTGGGAGGCCACAGCTTCAGCAGCAGGCACAGCAAAAAGCTGCCCAGGAGGTGGGTGACAGGAAGAGGAGACAGGTCTGGTCACAGTCCCTGCTGCTCCCCTTCCCCTGAGACCTTCCTGGGACACCCTCTTCTCCAGCAGCAAGCCTGCTTCCTACTTGGTGAAAAATCAAGCAAAGGGCAGAGTTAGGGTGCACACCTGAAGGCAGAGGGGAAAGCAGAGCAGGCTGCGGAGCCAGGCAGTGCCTTCCCCAGGACCAGCCTCTGGCTCCCGCAGGCCTTGCCTATGAGGGTCCCCATCCGCCCCTCCTGTACCCAGAGGAGGAAGCACGCTTGCAGCAAAATCAGATGAAAAGCAAGAACAAAAGGAAGACCTGCAGGAGACTTTTCATAATGACAGAATTTATAAGCGGAAACTTAGTACTTCTTTGTTCACTAGTTTTTCTTTGCTGCTGACTTTATATTTTCTACATAGGACAAGTACTCTGCAATAATAATCTCTTCATCCTCCAGAGTCGAGTCAAGGTAATCCTCCTCGTGCTCAGGAATGTCTTCCAGTATCTCATTGACAGCCTCTGTCTCCATGTCCTCGTCTGTCGAGGCGCTGGAGGTCCCTACAGTAAGACACACAGTGAGGGACCGCGCCAAGGCCCCTGCGACACACTTCCTGCCGGCCACCCTGTCCCAGGAACATCCTCCTCAGTCTCCAGGTCAGCCTCTCCCTCAGGCCCATGCCTGGGGTGTCTGCTCTCCTGGTGTTCAGACCTGACCCACCTGCGGAATCCGAGGGGGACGTGGATGGGGTGGACGAGGAGTCCTCCCCCGAGAGCTGCAGGTCGGGAGGAAGGATCCCTCCGTGGTGAGCGAGGGTCTGAGCCGCCAGCTGGACGTTGCCCCTGAACACCTTCAGCGCGACCTTGGCCACGACTGTGTCAAAGCCCATGTATACCAGCTAGGGGACAGAAAAAGGCCACGGATGTCATGCTCACATGCTGCATGGACTGTCACACCCACGTTCATCTGTGGTGCGCAGCATGCACCCTGCCCTCCTGACAAGTCACCCTTCAGCCTAGCATGCACGAGGCCACCAGGAAAGGGTCAATGGTTTGTGTGGCCACCTCAGGGCTGGGAGCAAAGTGCTGTGCTCAGGCACAGGTGTCACGAGCTCAGCAGCCACCAGGCGTGGGGCACTTTAACTTGTGGGGCAAGTATGGCTGGTCACTTGTCACAAGGTGGATGGACTCCACAGGACAAAGGGACGTCCTTTTGGTCATATGCAGAGAACTGGGGATGATGTAAACAGTGGTATGTGAAAAAAAGAGGCAAGCTAGAGGAAGAGGGCCTGCAAGGCTGATTTTTCCTGCTGCGTGTGCTGGCGGCCCTCCCTCGCAGGTCCTGCCTGGAGCCTGGAAACCTGGGCAGCAGCACAGCTTGCCCTGTCCTGCCGCCACCCTGCCCTCCCCAGCCAGCCCACTTGAGGGACCCGGGGCGCCAGAGCTGGGGCGCAAAGGCCAGTCACTCACTTGGTCAATGCTTTCCTGGGAAGGGCTCTCTCGGCTATTGGTATCAGAATCTGAATCTTTTAACCACATCTGAGGGTTACTGAGGAGAATCTGAAAGCACAGGGACACCGTGACTCACCACAACTGCCCACGGGGCCAGGGCACAGCACCCACAGTGCACCAGCAGACAGCCCAGGCCTGTCTACTTGTAGCACAGACAGACCACCTGGGACACTGTGGTGGGCCATGCGAAGGTGCCATAAAGCCAGGAAAGGGGCCCAACCCAGACTGGGGGCCAAGCTGTGTTTGCAGAAGGCTCCAGTCAAATGTCACCTCAGACTGGAGGTTTGAAGGGGGAGCAAAAGTGACCCTGGGAGCAAGACGTGCCAAGTGGAGAGCAGGAGGAGGCAGCTCAGGAGGGCACACGGTTCCGCCAGAGTGCGCAGCTCTGGGCAGAGGCCACAGAAGGAAGTGAACAGAAGGCTGCTGAGCAGGCCTCCTCGCCTCTGAAGGCACCACGCCCTCCTGACCTGAAGGAGGCACTAGTAGCTCAGTGAGACCCTGCTCAGTGCTGCATGGACTGTCACATCCACGCTCACCTGTGGTACGCAGCATGCACCCTGCCCTCCTGACAAGTCACCCTTCAGCCTAGCATGCATGAGGCCACCAGGAAAGGGTCATGGACGACCTTGGTGTAATGAATTGTGTGGCACTGGGGATAGAACCCAGCATGTAACCACTGAGTTACATCCCAGATGGCTTTGTTTATTTGTTTTTTGAGACAGGTCTTGCCAAGTTGCTGAGGCTGGCTTTGAACTTGCAATCCTCCTACATAGCTGGGATCATAGGCATGCACCACCACTCCCAGCCAGAAGTCGTGTTTGGACCCTTGACTTCACACATTAACTGTTAACCTTAAGACCCTCTGGGCAATTTGCCATCTAGCATAAAATACTTCAAGAGTGGCTAAATGGATTTATGAACTACGTTCATTATTAAAAACTATTAAATTTAATTTTAGCCCCATCAGTTCCTTCATATAGTCACATTTTCCAGCCTTTTACAGTTCTCTGACAAATAAGAAAACTCAAACTAGAGCACTGAGATAGTTCAGTGGTAGAGCACTTGCGTAGCATGTACCAGGCCCTGGTTTAACTCCCAGCACTGCCCCAAAACAATCAAAATCAAACTTGATATTCAAATAATGTTTTTTAATTTTAAAATGTTAATAAAAATACTGCCCTATGCGGCCTTCTCATGCACAGGGCAAATACAGAAGGCGAGACAGGGTGAGCTCCTCTGGCCTCCTTAGCCCAGCAGATGAGGTGGCACCTGGCCACTGACCATTGGTCTACCCCCTCTCTAGCCCTACCCCAGCCCCCAACACTGCCCTGTCCCCACCCAGACAACAGGCACCTCCCTCTGCCTGGCTCCCTGCTGGTACCTGGCTCCCGCCCCAGCCCATGCACCATGTGTGGTCCTCATTCTGTGTGTTCCGTCTGCTGCTGGTCTGTGGGTATCCCCAGGGCAGTGGTCTCCCACTTTGAGCTCCTGGGATGTAGCACAGCCCCGGCCCTACTGAGAACCTCTTGAACAGACTGGAGGGGCTGGACCTGGATGAAGTTACTACTGGTGTGTGGCTTTAAGGAGTTCTGTAAAAAGCTCCTTTGCATCAGGTGCAGTGGCCACACCTATACCAGCTGCTCAAGAGGCTGAGGCAGGAGAGTCAAGTTTAAAGCCAGCCTCAGCAACTTAACAAGACTGTCTCAAAAAATAGCTCAATAGTAGGAGCACCTCAGCTGGGCACGGTGGTGCATGCCTCAGGAGGCTGAGGCAAGGGCTGGGGATGTGGTTCAATCCCTGGTAACCCACCACCAAAAAAAAAAAAAAATAGTAAGAGAACCTCTGGGTTCAATCCAACTGTACTACAAAGAAGAAAAAAAAAAGAAAGGAAAAAAATCCCCTTTGCCAATAGGTACTACCTATCAGATAAAATAAGCCAAATAAAAATTTAATTTAAAAAAATTATAGTAAAACTTGTATCATTCTCTTCTGTTTTGAAATTAGGAAGTTTATGCCATTGACATCAAACTCTCTGCTGCTAACAGAAACCCTACTCAGAGTCCTGGCCTGCGGACTGCCCACGTAAACATTTGCTACACTCCTGAGCCAGCAGGCCTCAGCGGAGAGGGAGCCTGGACCCATCCTTCTGGCTCTGCCACTCTGCTGATGACACAGAAAGCCAACCCTAGGTGCAAAGCAGCAATTAGGAAGGCGGCCCGGCCCGGGAGTGAGCACGCTGCAGAGTGCAGGAAGCGGGGCTGGCGGGACAGCAGGAAAGGGCAGCGCGTCCCAGGGAGGGGTCACCTTCAGAGCCTCGTCCAGGTTCCCACCGGCCTGATGGAGGGCGTGCTTGGCTGCGTGTGTGGGGTAGCCCATCCCCTTCAAAGAGTTGATGCTCTCCAGGCGACGCCTCTTCTTCTCTTTCTCCTCTTTCCTGATTTGGGCCAGTTCCTTGGAGAAAACAGCAAGTCCCACTAAGCTAGAGGCTGAGATCTCACAGAAAGTAAAATCCATGCTCTGCTGGGTTCTTGAGGTCAAAAGGTGAATAACCAAACAAAAAAGAAGGAGGGGCTCTCTCTACCTACCCTGGACTGGTCAAAAGCAGCAGAGCCAGGGCAGGGAGCTTGGGGAGCTGCTGCAGAGGCACGGAGGAGGAGCCTCCCAAGCCCAACACTGCATCAAGAACCTGGCAAGCACTCAGGTTCGGAGGCTGCCAGAGACAGGTGGCACACCTCTTCCAGAGGAGGGCAGAGGAGCTTCAGCACCGGGAGGAGCACGTAATGATCACCCAGGGAGCCATTCCTCCTGGATGATGCCAATATCACTGACCCACCTTCAGGATGCTCAAGGGGACAATGGCCATGTAACCCTGCTTTTTGGAAGAGCTTGCTGTTGCTGTGCAGGAGCTGGCTGCAGGAATTGTCTTGTCCCTTCTCTCAGCACCTGGCCTCAACTGGGAGAATTCTATCACTGACGCATAAAAACATCATTTAAGGGGCTGGGGATATGGCTCAGTTGGTAGAGTGTATGCCTCACATGCACAAGGCCATGGGTTCAATCCCTAGCACCAAAACAAAGAAACATACATACCAAAAAAAAAACCATTTAAGAAGGAGTTTTGGTTTTTTGATTTAAATTTTTTCCAGTACTGGGGATTGAACCCAAGGGAGTGCAGTACCACTGAGCTACATCCACAGCCTTTTTTATTTTTTTGAGACAGGGTCTTACTAAGTTGCTAAGGCTGGCCTTGAACTTTTGGTCCTCCTATCTCAGCCTCCCATGTCACTGGGATTACAGGTATGAGGCATCACACTGGCAAGGAAAGGGAATTTTAATTGCTTCAAAATACAAATCTGAGGCTGGGAATGTAGCTCAGTGGTAGAGTGCCTGCCTAATATGCATGAGGCTCTGGGTTTGATCTCCAGCACTATGAAAGACATAAAAATTCAAGCAAACAAAAAGAGGTTTGAAAACCACTAATCTGATTCAACCTCATCACTCTGTCAACAAGGAGACAGAAACTTTCAAGATGCTGAGTGATGGTGCCAAGGTCACAATGACCCATGGCAGTGAGCACAGGGAAAGCAGTCTATGCTCCTCCCAAGATCCACTCCTGCCTTTGGGGCTGAACCCAGCTCCAAGCACCCCTCTTCCTTGATCCTGAAGCAGCAGAATGACCTCATCGCTTAGGAAACACCACAAATTTTAGGTGGCACCAACATTTCCCTCAGGTGTCAGAAGGAAGACCAAGTGGAATGGGTGGTTGCTGAGCTACTTCTGGGGACAGAGGCTAACTTTTGTTCCTAACACAGGAGAACCTCTAGTCAGCTCCCTGGAGTACGCACGACACAAACTCTTACCTCTGCCTCAGCTGTGATGCACCTGTCCCCACCCTCCTGATGTCTGCGAAATGCCCTGGGTGTCCAGTCCTAATGACTTCTGCACATCATAGTGGGCTTCATCGCCTCACCTTTGGACTCAAAGCCTGCAGGGGCTCCCTTCTCCCCTATCAGCCCACAGCTCCTTATTCCTATCTCCCTAGGCCCTACAAAGGCCTCTGAGCTGACCTTGCCCTGCGACTGTGTGCAACCACACAGCCAGCAAGGTTCCCGCATGCCGCCCCTTTATTTTGTTCACACCCCCCCCACACCAGAGGCCTTTACCCAGCCGCATCCTCTGCTTCCAATTACAGCTTCCTCCGTTTATATTCTAGAAGGCAAAGAAATATGCACAACACGCATGCACAAAAACCCTGCCAGCAGTGAGGAGCCTAACCAGAGTTGCCTGACCCAGAACTGCAAACAAGCTGGGTCCTCAAGGACACTCCTACAATCACAAATGCCGTGTCAGGTTCATTTTAACCACATAACCAAACAGGAGAAAATCACACTATTCTGGAACATTCCTCTGTACCTTAGCAGGAGTGACAATGAGTACTGCACTGAAATACTCTGTACACACACCTTCTGTAAGAGTTGGGTTCTGAAGGACAGGCCTGGTAAAACAGGCTGTGGGACCTCCTAGGTAGAATTCTCCCAGTTGAGGACCATGTTGTACAAGAAAATACATACTTTTAAGAACTACCCATGATGTAGAGCCTCAGGAACTGAGGGGCAGTCTTACCTTGCACTTGAGCTCCGGCTCTGTGGGGCACTGTGTTTGTCTTTCCAATATCCATTCTACGCCTCCCTAGGGTGTGGGGGGCTGACCCAGCTCCCCAGGTGGGCTCTGAATGGTTTACGTCAATATCTGCTGCCACAGGCCTAAGCCCATCAGGTCTCACAGTCCCCTGGCCTCTGTGAGTGGCCAGTCTGTGAGGTGCTTAGGACTTCCAGGAGGATAGCACAGAGGGGAGGCAGACAGATCATGTCCTTGGCAACACGGATAGGCCACTGAATCAGCTAACCCTGAGACCATCCCTCTCTGGGGCTTTACAGGCCAATAAACCCCACCAACTTCCTTTTCCATGAGGACAGTCTCTATTCTTTTGTGTTGTTGCTTTTAACAATAAGCACCCCAACTACAACATCCACCAAGGGGAAGGGTGAGCAGGCGCAACTGCTCCATGTGTGCTGGTGTCTCTCTGCGTTTTCTCCAAGGGCTGAAACTTATCAGCACTCTACTTTATTTAAAAGTCAGTCTCTGAGCCAGAGTTCACACTGCAAAATGAGAATTATTCATCCCTGGCCTCACAGGTGGTCAGAGGCAGAACTTAATGACATTACTGTGAAAATGTTTTGTGAATTATAAAGTATTATACAATAATATTTTTCAAATGACCTCATTTTAAAATACTGGCTTTCCAAATACTAAAGAAATCTTTTCCACAATGAAGTAAAAGAAAAGTAATAAATGCATTGTCACAAATATCTGCTTTTCTTTTCTGTTTTGGTCCTGAAGACTGAACCCAGGGGTGCTCTACCACTGAGCACCATCCTCAGTCCTTTTATTTTCATTTTGAGACAGGGTCTCACAAGTTGCTCCTCCTGCCTCAGTCAGGTCTGGGAGGCCCGGAGAGGCCACCGTGCCCAGCAATGTCTGCTTCTCTGTCAGTACTGAGTTGGACCACATGCAAACACGCAGAGCCATGCTTTTTAGTCACTGCCTTTACCCATCGCTGATGTCCACAGCAAAACTGGTGGACCATGACTGATGGTAACACTCGTGTCATGAAAGAGAAACCCAAAACAGCCCTTTTGACTGGCTCTCCTATAATCTGACCCATGAATCCACTCCCACCCCAGAGCCAGGCAGGCCAATGACAGTTGGCTTTCCTGCCCATTCCCACAGCTCCACAGGCTGCTGTCCTCCTAAGGATTACCCTTATGTTCAGCAAAAAGGGAACCAGGGATACATATGTGAAGATTCCAGAGAAGGCTGTGGCTGGGGTTCACAGCTAGACCTCTCTGTGAGAGGCTATTGCCAACTTCTTGTTCTGGACAGAAAAGTGGGCCTATTGCTAATAGCCCATCATTAGCTCTCTGGACCCCAGGTCCTCTGCTGTATAGAGAGCATACATGAAAAGATTCTAATTCCAAAGTTCTAAAGCTTTCTTTACTTGTTTTGAATAATTGTAGCTTTACACCTGTGCTTTTGTAACATGATGCTACTTGTTTCTATGATCTGACTTGTGTTTGTAGGCAAGAACACAATCCCAAACTATCATTCTTGCCCCCTGAGAAAACACAGCCCCCTTAAAATGGTTTCAAGAAAAACACCACGGTGGCTGGGGATGGGGCTGAGGCTGGGGCTAGGGCTCGGTGGCAGAATGCTTGTCCAGCACATGTGAGGCACTGGGTTCAATCCTTAGTACCACATAAATATAAACAAATAAAGTCATTCTGTCCATCTACAACTACAAAAAAAATTATTTTTTTAAAATACATCATGGTGTCTAGAGAGAAAGAAGAGACTGCTTGTGTAACCTGCCTGAAAGTTGATGTAATCAAGAACCAAAGTCACGCCTTCCTTTCCTGATCTGGAGTGGTAAGGAGATCCTATTGCTAATACTTCCTATGGGATCGTCTCTTGTTCCGTCATACCTGAGGGAGCTCAGGCACTTCAGAAATAAGCTCACTATGCCTCACCCTTCCCAACCTCCCAAAAGGCACAGGCATCAGCATGCACGTGAGGTGGGTACCTCTCTGCGGTTGGAAATATGCGTGGCTGCATGATCCACATTCCCTTCGCAGGCCCGCAGGCCAAGCCGAGCCTCCTGGGCGGTGAACCCCAACTGCAGCAAGTTGTGTACTTTTGACGGGTCGATGTATAGCTCTTTAAAGAGCTGACGTGCCTACAGACAGGGAGAAATGCAAGAATCATGTAACTACGAAAACATCAAAGCCCAACACAAAGCTAAAGCCTAAAAGAATTACTGCAGATCAGATTTTTTTTTTTTTAACAGAAACTCTAAACTCATCCCCTTATTAACCAGAATAAATTGAAGCAGAAAACACTGTCTCTGCCTGCAGAGCTCACCCATACCACAATACGTGCCAACAGGCTGAGTGCTGTGGGAGCGACCACACCGTGACCTGCGTCTTTCTGTAATAAAGCTGAGGCCTGCTCCGACTCTCCAGCCCCTCTGCTGGTGGCTCTCCAGCCCCTCTGCTGGTGGCAGAGCACTGACAGGAGCAATCTGGGATGCCCCGCAGAGCTGTTACCCGGTCCTGCCTGCTCACCTCTAGACTGCTGGGTGAAAGGACAGAAACATCTGCCTGATTAAAGTCACTGTCTCTTGAAGTGTCCTTATTATAGCATCTGGCCTGAATCCTAACGGATACAGATGTGTTTATAGCACATGAGGGATGGGAGTAGGAAAGAGATGCACATTTCTCACAAGTCACAAACTGCCAAGTTCCTCAACATTTCACTTCTGGGGATAAGAAAAAAGCAGGTGGAAATGCCTACAGCTTCCTTTCTCACCTTGTTGAGGTACTCGCAGGCCTCTTCTCCATTCCCACTGTGATAGTTTCGGATCCCCTGAAGCAAGTAGAGTCTCAAAAACAACACCTTCTCTTTCCCACAGTTGCCCTAAAGTTATTGGTAAAAAGGATAAAACCGTCTTATTTATAATCATTGGTGCACAACGCTCACAGCCATTATTCTGTCTTCGTAGTGTCAAGGTAGCAACGCTGCTGTGACCATAGTGTCACTACTGCTGATGGCAACGTGAAGGCCCCAGGCACGTGAGTGCAACACAGGGCCAGGATACCTATCTCAGGCCATCCAGGAGAGGGGCCCCTTTGCTTACTGGAGAAGGTGGTGAAAATCCAGACCAGGTAGAGGCTATCATGCCCCGCGGGATTCTGACAACTTGAGAGATCAGAAGAATCCTTACTCAAGTCACAGCTCTTGGGTTATAACTGATTTCTGTGAACCATTACTCTAGAATTGTGTGTGTATGTTTGGTGTTTTTTTTTTCTCTTAGTTGTAGATGGACATAATACCTTTATTTTATTTGTTTACCTTTTTATGTGGTGCTGAGGATGGAACCTGGGGCCTCCCATTTGCTAGGCGAGCCCTCTAACACAACCCCAGCCCCGGGATGTCTATTTTTTGCATTTATATCTTTCATCAGATGCTACTGAATGTGAATATATCACAGGTGTTCTCCTGGTCAGGTGATCATGAGTGTGTGTAGGGGGCATCCATGATCAGAAAACTATGTTCCCCTGGGCTAAATAGAGACCAAGGAAAGAGCCAGACTTGTAAATCACTTAACAATTTTTTTAAATATAGCTTAAAAAGAGCATATTACATACTGCTATCAGATAAAAGCAGCAGTCTAAATAATTTAGCAGGAACAAATACAATTTCCAGAAATGGGCTCAACAATACAGAAAACAAATGATAGTAACATACTTTTATGTGCACCAGCCGCTGGTGATTTTCCCCATAACAATTTTTAAAGCATTTCTGGGCCAAGTCTAGCTTTCTTTCTGCATCATCCAGGCATTCCAACTGCTCCAGGCGGAAGTAACACCACACTATGTCCAGCTGCAGCACAGCGTAGTTGTCCACGGTGTCCAGCAGCTCCCTGCAGCACTCGCTGGAAGGAGAGGGGACCACGTCACAGACAAGTGGCACTAGTTACCTTTTGAGGGTATTACTGGAATTCTTTCCTGGTTCTTGATGTGTTGCAAAGATTGCTCAAAAACAAAGATCCCAGCACTTACAAGGGGAGCTGTATTTATAATCTGAATCTTTTCAACAAGGAAAAAAGAAATTAGGGCTCAGGAATAGCAGCCTAAAATCAACTGCTCTAGGATGGAGGAGGACAGACACACACACCATACCCACTTAGCAGGCTGGGAAAGAGGCCTCGCAGGAAGCGGAATCCAAGGCCACTGTCAGCACCCCTCAGCAAACAGAGGAGACCCAGCTTTGCCACAGTGGCTGCCAATTTTGACTGCAAATCAGAAGCACGGAGACATGAACAATCTTTTTCTTTTCTTTCCCTTTCCCTCTTTTTTAGACCAGCAGTAACAGAAGTCTCTCGGGAAGGGGCCTAGATGCTATTTTCTAAAATCTCTAGGGCCAATTTTAATGCCCAGGAAGAGTTGAGAACTACTGCTTTAAAAATAGAGTCCCCCAAATCACTTCTAAGAATGCCTCAACTGACAGAAGATTCTAATAAGGCCTTCAAGCTCAATCATATTCACACTGGGAGGAAACCATCTAGAAAACATCAGCTCTAAGTTGGCTAGCTGATTTCTCACCATGTGCAGACTGAAGGATACTTTGTAGCTGAGATAGTGGGCTGAATCCAGAAAAAGGAAGACACGTAAGACAATAAACAGAAGTCAGTTTAGTCTAGAAAGAATGTAGATTCTGTCTGCACAAGATTATTTATTTGGATTTTAAGTGTAATTATACTAAAATTCATAATGCAAATCTAGATCTTTAGTCTTCAAAAAGAAAGGAGAATACCTGGAACCACAAATTTTACACTAAGAAATTCTAAAGGGTTTTTCTGTTTTCACTGTTATCCTACTAAATTAAGATTGCTTTTATATGAAATGATAGAATGCACATGTCCTCAAGCTTCCTGTCTTACAAACGAATGTTCAGCAAAGAAAAATGAATCGAGTCTGACCTTGTCATTTACCCCTTAAAACAGTGGTCTCCCACGGGTAAGGCCTGTGCACAGTCCAGTGGGGGTAGGAAAATGTGTTCAAGCAGGTGCTTTACATTTATTTGTTATCTCTGTTTCTCCAAATCTGTGGCTTGGCCTAAGAACTCGACTTTGAGGGGAAAAGAAGGAGCCTGTGAATTTGACCCAATCTTTTACTCAAGAGGAGACCTCCCAATCTGCCTCCTAACATGTTCAGGTTTCTGTAAGAGATGGTCCTGCCATTCACGGAAATGGACTTTTGTCACATTTTCAATTTCCTACAGACTCATTTAATAAGCATCAAGACAAGGACATAAATGGCCTCATTTCAGTTAAAATATAATGTGTACTCATCTCAAGTGTGCCTCAGAACTGAGAATATGTGCAGCCAAAAGCCAAAAACAAAAACACATCTCCCACTAGAGGAGTGCATTTTATTCTATTCATTTTAGGAAATCAGCTTCTACATATTAATTCTGAAACTGCTAGGCCTCTATTTGAACCTAATCATGTAAGTTGGGCAAAAAGTTGTTTTTTAAAAACCTAGAATAAAATTGTGTTTGTGGGATTGGGAACTAAATGCAGGGCCTTGCATGTGCCAGGTAGGACTTCCCCACTGAGCTACACCGAAGCCCTGGGTATATCTTTATTAATATTTCTTTGATTTACAATTTCAGTAGCTTTAATATTCCACACTGCCACATGGTGTGGAGGCACAAACCTTGTAGTCCCAGAGATCTGGGAGGCTGAGGCAGGAGGGACTGTAAGTTTGAGGCTAGCCTCAGCAACTTAGCAAGACCCTGTCTCAAATTAAAAAATAAAAAGGGTTAGGGAAGGGGCTGGGGTTGTGGCTCAGCGGTAGAGCACTCGCCTAGCATGTTCGATCCTCAGCACCACATAAAAATAAATTGTTAAAATAAAGATACTGTGTCCAATTATAACTAAAAAATAAAATATTAAAAAAGGGGGTTAGGGAAGTAGCTCAGTGATAAAGTGCTTGCTTACCTTGCATGAAGCCCTGGGTTCTATCCCTAGTACCACAAAAATAAAACACTATCAGTAAATTCTCACAATAAAGCAACATTAAAATAAATGTATGACATTTGTTTAAATAAAATCTATTGAGCCTCACTTTAGAAAAACTACGTTCTGTTTGGGCTTATGATGATATAACAATGATGATGATTTTGGTATTGAAAATTGATCCCAGGGGTGCTTAACCACTGAGCCACATCCCCAGAGTTTTAATATATACATTTTTAGTTGTTGATGGGCCTTTGTTTTATTTATTTATATGTGGTGCTGAGGATGGAACCCAGTGCCTCACATGCTAGGCAAGCGCTCTGCCACTGAGCTACAATCGTATCCCCCCAGCCCTTATTATTAATAGGTTTCACCAAATCAGGAAAAGTTCCAGCCATTATTTCTTCAAGTCCCTTGTGCCACCCCCCCACTTCAGGACCACCAACTGCACATGTCAGGTTGCCCAACCTGCAGGTGCTCTGGCATCCTCTTCCCTGTCCCTTACCCGGTTCTATTTTCTGTGTCATGCTAGAGTTTCTACTGCCCCATCTTCACATTTTCTGAATTTCTTTTCTGCAGTGTCTACTGCAGTTCATCCCACTCAAGGCACCTGTCAGACACTATTTTTCCCTCTCTTAAATTTCAGCATGAGTCTTTTGCATGTCTCCCAGGTCTTCATCTGACACACTCGAGCCCTTCTATAACTTCATGAGTATTTGGAATGTATTGTTTCAATGTCCCTGTCTACTGATTCTAACTTATGTGTCACTTTTGGATCTGCATCTGTTAATTGGTTTTTCTCCTCAATATGGGTTATAGTTTCTGGTTTCTTTGCATTCCTAATTTTTTTTTTTAGTTGTACATGGACACAATACCTTTATTTTATCTATTTACTTTATGTGGTGTTGAGAATTGAACCCAGTGCCTCATACGTGTGAGGCAAGTGCTCTACCACTGAGCCATAACCCTAGCCTGCATGCGTGCTAATTTTTAATTGGAAGCTGGATTATTTCTGTGTTGCTAAATTACTGAGCTTTGTTAGGGCTGTACTGAAGTTACTTGAAAACAGTAACTTTAATCTACTGTTCAAAGCTGGGTTTTAGGCTCTGTTAGGCAGGACTAGAGTAATCTTTGGGGTTAATTTTGCCCTATTATTGCGGCATGACCCATCTGAATGCTCCGTCTATGATTCCAAGTTGTCCGCTCTGGCTGGTGGGGTACAAACTGCCCCTGCCTCTGTGAACAGACAGGACTGTTCTCTCTGCTTCGTTCAGGCAGTTCCTGCCCAGTTTGGGGGTGTCCCCACACACATGTGCTGAGTACCACCTGTAGACTCAACAGGGCTGCTCTAAAGCTCTCTCCTCTCACCTCCTGGGCTCTCAGCTCATCAACTCAGAGGAACCATGAGGCTCTGCCTGGGTGGGCCCTCCTCCCTGTACTGCTGGGAGCTGCTCTTTTATACATTTGTTAAGTTTCTGAGGTGCTTCCAAGTGAGCGGGTAAACAGTCCCTGTTATTCCACCTTGGCTAAAAGCAGAACTCCCATTTTCAGTTTTAAATAGGAAAGAGGGATGGGAGTGTAGCTCACTGGTAGAGTGTGTGCCTAGTGTGCACAAGCCTAGGTTCAATTCCCATACCACAAATAAACAGGGAAAGGAACTATTTTTGGTCACACTACCCATCATACCCCAAGACATGCAAAGCTATGACAGAACTTCTAGCTTACTAGGAGAAGGTAGGGGGGAAAATTAAGTGGGAAAGAAAACAGAACAAGTTTCTTGCACCTAGATTGCTGGCTGGCATCACAGTTCGTCTTCTTCAGGATGAGGTTGCAGTCACACAAAAAGAAAGCTAACATGTTGGCCAGAATCAACGGATCCTCAGGAAACCAACAGCATTCTCCACTGTTACAGTTTGGATCTGAAATGTTCTACAAAGGCTCGGTCCTAAGGTGGGGGGAACCTCTGAGAGCTGGAGGTTAGTGAGAGGTTTGAAGGCATTGGCTGGACGTGTACCCTGGAAGGGAACTGTGGGACTCCAGTCTCTCTCTCTTTCCAGCCACCCGAAATCAAGCCTCAGTCAAGTCCCCACCACCATGATGTAATACACCACCACAGGCCCAACCAACGGGCCAAACAATCAGGGGCTGAAACTCCCAAAACTGTGTAAAAAGAAACCTTTCCTCTTCATAAGTTGATTATCTCAGTTATTTGTTGCAATAATGGAAATCTAACACATCTACTTAAAAAGAACTGACAGCCATTACTTGATTATTGTATCTAGTACCTACTGAATATGTCGATGTACTATGAACTGAAGATACATTTATTTCTATTCAGGGGTTCTCTTGAGACTTGAAAATTACTTTAAGGTTTTGTCCACCATAGAAATATTAAGAAAGACTGACACAGATGAGCTCAGATCATCCATTTCTTGACAACTGGTAAAGCTGGAGGATGAGTAAAAGGGAGTTCATTATACTAGTTTCTATTTTTATGCATATTGGAAATTTTTGATAATAACAATTATAGGCACAATTATGAAATAAAATGAAACATTTACCTGAATTTTAAGGACCCAACTTAAGATCCCTTGTCTGCAGCAGCACAGAATGAAGCTGACACCAATAAGGAAGCAGATACAGACAGAGCAGGAGGCCCCAGAGGCTCCCAGCCCTGTTCTCCCTGTTCCCAGCCTCACTCATCTCCTCCTAAATATCTGGGACAATAAAGTCCTTCTTTGTGGAAGTTAGCTTAAGTTGGGATTTGTT